TCCCCCGCCCCCTCCTGGTAGGCGCTGGGCAGCGAGAGGGTCCCTGTCCCCCTCCTGCGGCCTGGATGTGGCAAGAACCCCCGGACGCTGACCGCCACCATCTTCTCTTCCCCGTAGACTTCAGCTATGGTGCCGACGACTACGACGCCGAGGGGAACGAGGAGCCCAAGGCCTTGCCGGAGGGCTCGGAAACCATGCCCTACATTGACGAATCGCCCACCATGTCCCCCCAGCTCAGCGCCCGCGGCCAAGACAGCGGGGACGGCGTCTCTCCCACGCCCACCGACAGCCTCGGCACGGGGGTAGGTGGCTGGACGCGGAGCTTTGTGCCGAGCGCGGTTGAAGCGGGCATTGGGGGACTGCCCAGCTTGGATGTGTCTCCAGTGGTGGCGATGGTCTGGTGCTGCTGTGACCCAAATGGCTGTCCCCTTGGCTTCCTGCCCGCGGCCAAGACAGCGGGGACGGCGTCTCTCCCACGCCCACCGACAGCCTCGGCACGGGGGTAGGTGGCTGGACGCGGAGCTTTGTGCCGAGCGCGGTTGAAGCGGGCATTGGGGGACTGCCCAGCTTGGATGTGTCTCCAGTGGTGGCGATGGTCTGGTGCTGCTGTGACCCAAATGGCTGTCCCCTTGGCTTCCTAAACCCTGTTGTCCTTGGCCCTCGGTGCTTTGGGCTCTTTGTGGCTCGGGGGGAGCAGCGCGTTGTTTGGTCGCTGTCTTTGAGGATGCCACGTCTGTGGGAAGGAGCAGACAGGGAAAGTGGAGACTCAGGGCCACGCTGGTGTCATCCCCTTGGGACGAGTGAAAACGTACCCGCCGTGCTGGCGGCAAAGCTAGGAGAGCACAGGGAGGCAGGAGAGCAAGGTCTGGGTGCCGGAGAGCCAGAGCTGCCTGAATCTGCAGGAAGGCGCCTGGGATCTCCAGCCAGGGTTGCTAGGAGGTGTGAGGTCCCCAGCGTCCCCGTCCCTCTGCTCTGGGGGGAGCCCAGCCTCGGGGACAGGGGACAGCTGCTCTGCTGAGCTGCCAGCTCCACCTAGTGGTGCAGGGGACACCCCGCCAGCTGGAGAGGGACACCTTGTCAGTCCCCTCCTCTCCTCGGGGAAACTTGGATTTAACTCCTCCTCTCCTTGTGCTCTTAGCAGAGACCGCGAAGCCATTGGGATTTTATCCATTATTTTTAATGGAGAAAAGTTTGGAAAGTTTTGGCGTGGGAAACCAAAAGGAGAAAATAACTTTTTTGGCATAAACGTTTCCCTAAAGCCTGCGGGCAGCAGGGCTGCCGCCCCCAGCGACGCTGGCCGCAGGGAGCGCTCGGCGCTGCCGTCCCGCTGTGCTCAGGGAGGGCCGGCTCCTGGCCGGACGGCGCAGCAGCCTCCTCGTCCTTCCCGGCTCCCCGGGAGCTGGCCCTGGGGCGCTCCCTTGGCGCAGGGCTGGTTCAGAAAGCGCCTGCTGGGTCCTGGGGTGGGGGGGGCCCCG